TTCAAAATTATTTATAAAAAGTAATTAATTGTATATTGAATGTACTTAGCCTTAAAAGGTATTGTTATAAAACAATATCTTTGAACGACTATGTATTTTTTATAACAATTCCCGAAATTATTATCTTCAAAATAAAGTAATATGAAATAGAATTGTATTTATTTCTTTTGCGTTCTCTTTTTCAGTTTAAATAATTTTATAAATTCTAAAAGTATAGTTTTTTTTATTATAAAGAATAGGTTTTTAGAAAAAACTATAAAGAATAGTAAAAAAATATAAAAATATAGTTTAAAAAAGAAGTAACTAATTTACAAATTATGTCAGTTGAAGAAGAAGTTAAAGAAATTAATATTCAATGCGAAAGAGAAGGATTTTTTCCAGTGGATTATTCTATTCACAGGCAACGGCAAGTGTTTAATAAATACTTTCAACAAGTATATGATATGAAATGGAATAAAATTGGAGAATTGAAGAAGAGTAAAAAGATAACTGGGATTGAACTTTTAATGAATGGACAAGTTATGAAGAATGGAATGCAAAAAATGAAAGACAATGAGAATAAAGTGACAATGAGAATAACTTTTGACCATCAGTATATTCATCAAATTTGTCCAGAATTTAGAAAAATGATAGAAGAATATAAAAATGATGTACTACAACAAGAAGTTAAAGAAATGGAAATCAGCATTGAAGATGAAGAAGAGAATAGTAATAGTAAAACTTCTGATGATAGTCAAGAGGAATTAACTGATGAATATATAAAAGAACAAGAGAAACTTCTTCATTCAATCAAAAAAGAAAAAGAAGAAACGTTAAAAGAAGAGGATAATGAAAAAATATTAAAAGAAGAAGATAATGAAAATAATACAAATGAAAATGAACAAAGTGAAGAAATTGATACAGTTGAAAGAAGAAAAGAAAGAACTCTTTCAGTTATACAGTACAAAAGACTTAGAGCTATTAATTATATTCGTATAGAAAAATTATTTGAAGAACCATTTCTTCCAATGCACCAAAGTTTTTTTGTATTTGAATTTTGTGTTTATGCAATACAATTTGGACAATGGGAAACAACAAGAATATTTCAAAGTTATAAATCAATTAATGTTGAAAAATTAGAAAATCCATTAGATTCTTTTAAGCCATTTGGACATCTTGTTATAAAATTACAAAATAAAAGTGAAATGGGACTATTTTTTTATGATGAAATATATGGAGAAATGATAGAAATTAATCAAAATAATTGTAATCATATCTTTTGTTCTAAAAGAGAAAAATTCATTGATGTTTATATTTCATTTAAAGGATCAATTCCTTTCTTAAGAAAAACTTCTCCTATGCATTTAACTCATGACCAAATGAGAATTGAAAATTATTTTCAACACTCTATTCTTCCTTGTTGGGAATCATTTGAGTCTTCAAGATTACAAGTTATTTGTATTTCTATTCATCCAAGTTCATGGAAAAATATTCATGAAGTAATTAGACAATGTTCAATCTCTCAATCAGACCTTAAAATATCTAATGAACAATCATTTTCAAAATTATTAAAAAAGAAAGATTATACTATTCCAAAATCATTTGAATTTGGATGGGAATGGATGATTGAAAAATTATTACAAGAAAATATTATTGTTCCAAGTCAAATTACACAGGAATTTATTAATGAAATAAACAAATATTCATTTAATGAATATAATCTTCATTTTAGATTCTTATTAAATACAATTGAAACAAATAAATATCATCGTGCTTTTGATGTTATGAAATTAATTCCATCTAAAAAAGATTCTTCAATTGATTTTACTAAAAAAATATTTTGTGTACAAATAACACCTTCATCTATTACTTTTCTTCCACCAAAAATACGTTCATATTCAGGTGAATTTTATTTAAAAAATACTTGTTTTTTAAAATTATGTGAAGGAAATGGTAATTTTATTTTAATTCAATTTAATAAAGAAGATTCTATGACAAATGAATATTTAATGACTGTAATGAATAATGTTGTTACAAAACCATTTAAAATGATATTTAGTAATTCAACATATGACTTATATTGTTTTCTTCTTACAACAAATTGTGTAATTTATATAAAAAAAGGAATAACAATTGACATATCAAGAAAAGATATGGCATTTAGTTGTATTAATGATCAAAATCAAATGTGGTTATTTAATCAAATTGTTGAATTATGTAAAATAGATATGAAGGATTCTCATGATCAAAAAGATGGTATTAATAGAGTAAATGATTATTGGAAACATATTCAAAGTTTGTATGAACTATATGGAAGAGGAGAATATATTGATCGGACAAGTTTAGATACTTATCGTTATTTAAAATTGATGAGTATTTATAACAAATATAAGAATAGATTAGATTGTGATTGGAAAGTTGATTATATTCTACCTCGCCAAAAATGGGAATTTTTTAGAGACTTTAGTGATCCTACTCTTCGTAAATTATCTCTTAAAGGTGAAATGAAACCATCTCTTTCTTTACAAAAAATTATGATTGCTTTTGGGGTTGATCCAATTACTATAAATTGTCTTATTAAACCAAGAATTGATATTGTTGATTCAATAACATATGACATTTATAACTTGATTAGGTATATCAATTTAAATCATTTAAAAAATATTCATTTGATTTATTATCCACCTGTAAATCATTGATAATTTTTTATTATTTATTTTTTTTTAGAAATATCCAAAAAAAAATAAAATTTAGAGATTACAGAATATATATCATTTTATTTTTGAAAATGGCATTATCTTATCTCTCATTTTTCTCGAATCCCTTTATATCTTATTCACCTAAATGAAGAGATGAAAGTGGTAATTCTATTTTAAATTTCTTAATTTATTAATTCATTATTTTTTTATTTACTTTCAAAAATTATGGGTTGGATATTTTTATTATTATTAAATTACTTATCATAACACTCAATCATTATTCTTCCACTTTTCACTTTTCAAAATGAAATTTTTTCTCTATTAAATAAACAAATAATTTTAACTATATTATTTTATAAATAATACAATAGAAAAATCATATAATAAGATCTTACAACTAGTGTTACTTAACTTTATTTTACATGAGTCCTCAAAGTATTGTATAACTTAATTAAATATAATAAGAACTATTCTAAATATAAATTTTTAAATTAAACAACAATAATTAATAAACACCTATTTTACTTTTTTTTAAACAAATCAAACAAGTGTTCCTTATTTTAACTTAACTTGTTTGTAAACTAAATTCTCATGACTTTTTAAAAAAACCCATTAAAGGAAAGAACAAAAAGTTATGTAAAAGAAGGAAAAAACGTGAAAAGAAAGAGTGTCTATAAAGTAATAAATAATTTTATTTAATTAGTAGAGGTATTAACAAAAATAATGCAAAGGATATTTTAAATAAAATAAAAAGATAAAACGAATCAAGTTTTTGGTTATCAGTTTAGAAAAGATTACTTTCAATTAACATAATAAACAACACTCAATAAATATTTCTTAAACAAAGCTAGTAAAAAAATATTTGATCTCTTTAAGATTGAATATATTGAAAGAATGTAATCAAGAACTAAAGAGAACTAAATGTCTTGCATATTCTGGATACATGGATAACAAAAGAATTATACATGTTTCAATTAATGCTATAATTAAAAGAAAGAGAAAGATTTAAAAACAAAAGAAACCTACTATTAAAAAAAATTAGGGGAAAGAACTTAAAAAAAAAAAGATAAAAATAATATAATAAAAATAAATGAATAAAAGATGAATAACAATATACAAATGATAAATAATTGTTCTACTGTAATAAACCACTATAATAAGATTCTATAATAAATTTAATAGATGAGTCCCAAGTGAGATATTCAATACATTCACAAAGACGAATTAATAAAATATGATTATTCATATCAACTAATATACTTTGATAAATATAATTTAAATGTGTTAAAAAATTATTTAGACAATGTAAATCTTTTGATAATTTTATTCTAACTCCTTCACAACTTAAAGAAATTTTAAGCATTTCACCACATAACTCATTTTCTTCTTTATCATTTTCTTTAGAAATACCATTAAGAATAATAAATAATAATAAATCATTTTCTTCAAGTAATTTTAATATTAATTCAGAAGAATGAGTTGATATTAAAGAATAAAGACAATCTAATGCCATCATATATATTGAATACTTTAATTGATATTGAAATAATTTAATTATTAATTTATAACTCCCCATTAAAAGAAATGTAACAGGATCACTTCTTGTTAAAATTGATAATACTCCTATTGTACTTTCTAATGATGATGATTCAATTAATATATTCTTTTGTAAAATATTTAAAAATTCATTATTCTTTAATGTTTCTTCTACAGCTGTTCTTCCACTTTCTAAGTATAACCAAACTGAATGAATTGTTTTATCATATAATTCTTGTTTACAAACCATTTCAAAAATCATTTCAGTTTCATTTTGTTCAACAGGACCATCAACAAGGACATGAAGTGGACATGGGAATTTTAAACCTTTCATCTTAAGTTGCATCATTCTTGTTTTTCTTAGTTTTTTAGTGTGTCTTAAAATACCCTTTCTTTCCTTTTCTATTTTTATCTTTCTATTTTTCTTTTCATTTTACGCATTTTTAGATGAACGTTTTTATTGTTTATTCTCCTTTTCTTTAGTTTTTTTATTAGTCCTTTTTACTATTTCTTTGATTCTTCTTTTAGATTTCTTTCTTTTTTTAGTTTTTTCCTAACGAAAGAAATTGTATATTAATCTCTTTTTCTTTTCCCGTTCATTAGGTCATAATATATTCATTTTCTATTCAATTATATCTCTTTGTTGGTTTGCTATTTTAGGAAGAATCAATAAAAAAGATATTTTTGTCTGTTTCTAATTTTTGACTTGATTAAATTTTGAAGTTCTTGTTTACTAATACTGTTAGTTGTTACTGTTGTTGAATACCTTTATTTTTGTTTTATATAACGAAGGAAAATTTGTGAGACTTTCTAAATTTAATTATTCGAATTATATTTTTTATATCTTATATTCATATCTACTGACTGATAATGGTTTTAGTTATTTCTTCTTCTTTTTTAGCAAGAACTTATTCATTTAGTAATAACATTACTTTTGTTAACAACGTCTATTAAAGAGTTTCTTCTATGATTTCTTTGATAAGGCATTATGTTTTTGTTATATCTTCGAAGAAAACTACAAATAGATTTTTGTTATAATATTATCTATTATCTTTTCGACAGTATTAATATCTTTGTTTCATTTAAAAAGTAACGATAATATTTCCTCTAAAAATAAAACAAACTATAGTTGAATAGACTAATCTCACTTGTGACATAAGTATAAAACACTATAAAATTATAAAAATAAGCAAATTATTTAAAAATAATTTTATTATTAAACACTCACTTTCTTTATGTTTCAACTTCTTTTTTTATATAACTTTTTTTACTTATACTTTTTTGTATTGAAACTAAACATTCTTTATAACAAATTCAGAATATTATATTAAACTAATCTTTAGAATCTTTGTTGAAATGAATTCTCAAAATAGATACCATAAAAGATTCTAACAAAGTATTGAATCAAACGTATCGTTAGAAGTGTCCTTTTTAAAACAATGGTTGTGTAACTATCAAATATCATTATTTGAAAAATTATTATTCTTATTCTTATTTAACATAACTCTTTTATACTAACTATACCATTCTATACTAAGTCTGATTACAATGAGTTGTATTTAATACTTTATTTTATTAATGGCTTAACATAAAATATATACAAGATAATCAGTAATTGGTTATACGAAGATAACACCTTATTCATAGTTTTTTTTTATTGTTCAAATTCTTAAAACAATTCTACTTAGAGTTAATAAAAAGTAAAATATCTAATTTAAACAAGAAGTTTCTCAAAGAATAAATCTTTTACAATATCTATAGCATTTATGCTAGATAAATTTTATATTCATATCCTCCAAACCTTTTTTTTTGAATGAAAAGTACTTTTGTATCTAAATGAATTGTTTCTTTTATTCTTTTAATATAAAAATAAAATACTTCAATTTATATAAAGTAAAATAACTTACAAATTAAAATTAAAAATAAAGAGTTTTCAAATCACTTAAAAGTTTTGACATATTAAAAATAAGTAGATTCAATTATACTTCTCTAAGCAAAACTAATATTAAAAAAAATTAAAGAAATGAAAAGTTAAAGAACGTTCAATAAATAACAACTCCTTTTATTGACGAGTACATTAATAAAGAGTAATATCAATATTCTATAAATATCTTTCGTTTGAGAAATATTAATTAATATTTATACATCTTTAAATATTAAAAATATATGCTTTTTTCATTATTGTTATTGGTGAATATTTTATGATATCATGAAACAATTCTTTTATAAGAAATCATTATTAAGAAAGAGTATCTTTATGACCACTAAAACAATCTCATGATATTTTTTTAATTAAAATTGAATAATAAAATAATGATATATTTTTAATTCATATGTAAATAAAAAAAATGAAAAGAAAAAAAGAAAACCCTTTTATTAAAAAAAATCTGAAATAATTAATAAACTATGCTCAAAAGAATAGAAAGAGAACAAAGAAAAGATAATGAGACAGACGTAAAGCCAAAAGCCCCATGGTCAAGATGTTTGATTTTAGCATCACGTGGAGTATCAGCAAAGCAAAGATATTTAATGCAAGATCTTATTGCAATGATTCCACATAACAAAAAAGAACCAAAATTTGATGACAAACGACATTTTCATGAAATTGCAGAAATATGTGATTTAAGAAATTGTGATACATGCATTTTCTTCGAAAACAGAAAACACACTGATTTATATCTATGGTTTTGTTGTGCACCACATGGACCTTCTATTAAGTTTTTTGTAGAAAATATTACGACTATGTCTAATTTAAAATTAACAGGAAATGCTTTAAAAGGTTCAAGACCAATTATTAGTTTTGGTGCTGAGTTTGAAGCAAGTAATGAAAATAAAATTATAAAAGAAATATTATCAAAAATTTTCCATGTAGAACAAAATTATCCAAAATCAAAACCATTTATTGATCATATATTACAATTCTCTATTGTTGATGATCGTATTTGGATGAGGAATTATCAAATTGTTGATGGAAGTGGCAATGAAAAGTTATCACTTGTTGAAATTGGTCCAAGATATTGCATGAGATGTATAAAAATACTTGCTGGTTGTTTTAGTGGATCAGTTGTGTATTTAAATGAAAAATATGTCTCTCCTAATGTTATTCGTTCTATGGAACGTCGTGAAGCTCAATTATCTGCTGCTCGTTCTAAACAAATAGCAAAAGAAAAGAGTGAAGAACAAAAAAATATTGTTGAGAAGAAATCAATTTTAGATGAAGTATTTGAAAATGAAGTGAAGATTGAAGATGACGAGAAAGAAAATAAAGAGAGTTCTAATTAATCAAGTAAGATTAGTTATGAGTAATTTGATTGCTTTTACTATTTTTTGTTATTTTATTTTATTTATAAAAAACCCTCTTAAAAAATGATCAAAATATTCACACACTAACACTCTATGTTAAAGACAAATACATTACTAATTCTAGTATTACTTTCAACTATATTAGAAGCAAAAACTATACAATTTTTCCGCCCAAATTATAATAATATGACACTTAGTATTACTGAAGAGGCAATAGACTATCTCAAAGAAATTCATAGTTTGATTCCTGTTACTGTCATTGGACCAAGAAAATCTGGGAAATCATTTCTATTAAATTCTTTAACGAAAACTTCTGGGTTTGAGTTAGGACATGGTTCATTACCTCAAACAAAAGGAATTGAATTTCTTAAAAAAAAAATATATAATAAAGAACATGAAGTTATTTATTTTGATACTGAGGGATTATCAAGTAATCCATTAGGATTTGATAAAAACATTGTCTTATTTGGTTTAATGGGAAGTTCTCATTTAATCATTAATGTTAGAAATGAATTATTATTTAACGATGTATTGTCTTTATCATTGATGTCACAATTGGCTCAATATTATCATCAACATCATATCTCCTCATTCCATTTTCCAATACTGACTTGGGTTGTAGAAGATTATAATCAAATCATGAAAATGAATGAACACGATCTTCTTTTTAATCATTTCTTAAAAGAAAAAGATAATCCTGATAACGAATCATTAATAACTGAGTACAATGAAATTATACAAACTATTAAACAACTCTTCCCTGTTCAAAGATTATTTGTCATACCTGAACCTATTGATGATCATTACCAATTTACTAACTTGGACAATATTAAATATGATATACTTAATCAACAATATCGCAATAAAATAGAAGAATTAAAACAATGGATTTTTACATCTGAACCATTCAAATTACATGAAATAGTTACAGGTGAACAATATGGAAATTATGCTAAGAATTTTATCAACGAATTAATGAAAGAAAAAATAAGTCCATTAGTTTCTCATATCGCTGAATATTTTGGAGAAAGTCTTTTAAAAGAAGTTTTAGATAAATACAATCAGCGTATGGGCGCTATTATATTACCAGCTGATTTAGATTATATTCAAGAAAAGAAAGAATTATATGCAAATGAATCCCTTTCTTTATTTGATAAACAAATGTATGGATTAGATACTTTATTATCAACACAATCATTACGTACTAAACTCATTAATTCTATAAATGAATCATTTCAATTATATATATTCTCTAATGAACAAAAAAGTCATTCTTTTAATTCAGGTGTTATGGAAGAGTCATTAATGATTATCAAAGATAAGTCAAAGTCAGTGGCAGTCACAATGAAAGATGTTGTCTTAAATCATTACCAAAAATATTCTGTTGGTCCTACAAAACAATATTATTTTAAATTATTAAAACGTCAACTTGATCTTATTACTGATGATATGAGATGGGATGTATTAATTAGTGTTTTATTATGTTTCTTTATTGCATTCTTAATAATGAAATTTACTAGAATGAATTTCTGTAAATCATTAACTTTAAGTATTATTGCATTTGCTATATTAACCTTATTCATGATATTTTCAGTATGGCAACTATCTATATTAGATACTATCAAATTATTGTTCTTTGCTGTTACTGGATTATCTCAATCACAAATACTTATCATTCTTACCTGCTTCTGTTGTTTAGTGATTTTTTCCATTTTTTAAATTAATTAATTAACTTATTCGCTTTATTTTATTCTCTTTTTTCTAAACAAAAAGAAAAATCTTCAAATCTTTAGAAGTATTGACATTATGGAGAATATTATGAAATTCCTTCATTTAATAAATGACTTAAAACATATCCCAAGAACAGGATGGGTTTATAACAATGTCCCTAATCCTGAAAGTATTAGTGATCATATGTATCGTATGGCTATTTTGGCTATGATTTTTTGTCCAAGTCATTTAGATAGAAGTCATGCAGTTATGGTCTCTTTATGTCATGACATGGCAGAGGCGCTTATTGGGGACATAACACCAAATGACCCAGTCACTCCAGAAGAAAAACATAAACGAGAATTAGTTTGTTATG